TTTTTCTGTTCTGTTTCATTGATCTCTGCTCCAATCTTTATTTTCTTCTACTGGCTCTGGGTTTAGTTTGTTCTTTTTCTAGTTTCTTAAGTTGTAAAGTTGTTAAAGTTTGTCTTGTTTTTAACTTACTATTATTTTTGGTGTGTTCACTTTGGTAGCAGTATATAAATTGTTCTCACTATGGAATATAAGTTCAGGTTAGGCAAGAGAATTTCACAAGTGTAATAAAACATTCTGTAGTGTATCAAAGTTTGTATATAATATCTGGCAAAACCAACTTGCTCATAAATCATTAATCATTTCCATTATAGATAATTTGTTTAGTTTAAAATGTATGATTCTTACAGAGAAAATAAACATAATGTACACATCTTAATAGTGTTCTTTTTTCTTTGTATCAGGGCTTAAAATATACATATATATTTCAAGATGACATTTTAAAATATTCTGATAGAACAGTAGCAGAATACAATTCTGTAGTTACTAAAGAGCTAAACTGGAATCCATAATTAAGTTATTCTAATCATTATATTAAAAAATTTTTTGTTTTTTGAGACAATCTCACTTTTGTCACCCAGGCTGGAATGCAGTGGCGCAATCTCAGCTCACTGCAGCCCCTGCCTCCCGGGTTCAAGTGATTCTCCTGCATCAGCCTCTTGAGTGGCTGGGATTATAGGTGCATGCCACCACACCTGACTGATTTTTGTATTTTTAGTAGAGATGGGGTTTCGCCATGTTGGCCAGGCTGGTCTCGAACTCCTTACCTCAGGTGGTCCACTTACCTCAGCTTCCCAAAGTGCCGGGATTACATGCGTGAGCCACTGGACCCAGCCTAATCTTTACAATTGTGATTCTCAAATAAATATTACCATGGATTGTAGCTCTGTTGTTTGCTGTGGGTTCAGTTTAGACACACTTTTCATTGTGGGAGGAACGCACTTTCTTTCTTTCTTTTTTTTTTTTTTTGAGACGGAGTTTCACTCATGTTACCCAGGCTGGAGTGCAATGGCGCGATCTCGGCTCACCGCAACCTCCGCCTCCTGGGTTCAGGCAATTCTCCTGCCTCAGCCTCCTGAGTAGCTGGGATTACAGGCACGCGCCACCATGCCCAGCTAATATTTTTGTAATTTTAGTAGAGACGGGGTTTCACCATGTTGACCAGGATGGTCTTGATCTCTTGACCTCGTGATCCACCCGCCTCGGCCTCCCAAAGTGCTGGGATTACAGGCTTGAGCCACCGCGCCTGGCCGCACTTTCTTTTTTTAACTAGAGACAGGGTCTTGCTATTTTGCCCAGCTGGAGTACAGTGGCACAATCATAGCTCATTGTAACATCAAACCCCTGGGCTCAAGCTATCCTCCCCACCCAGTGTCCCAAGTAACTAGGACTACAGGTGTGCACCACCATGCCCAGCTAATTTTTTTTATTTTTGTTTTTGTTTTTTTGTAGAGATGGGGTCTTGCCATGTTGCCTAGGCTGGTCTCGTACTCCTGGCCTCAAGTGATCCTCCTGCTTCAGCATCCCAAAGCATTGGGAATACAGATGTCTGGCCCCAAGCTCTTTTTTGTTTTTTTTGTGTTTTTGAGACGGAGTTTTACTTTTGTCCCTCTGGCTGGAGTGCAATGGTGCGATCTTGGCTGACTGCAACCTCTGCCTCCTGGGTTCAAGCAATTCTCGTGCCTCGGCCTCTTGAGTAGTTGGGATTACAGGTGCCCACCACTATGCCTGGCTAATTTTTTTGGTATTTTTAGAAGAGACGGGATTTCACCATGTTGGCCAGGCTGGTCTTGAAGTCCTGACCTCAGGTGATCCACCTGCCTCAGCCTCCTAAAGTGCCGGAATTAACAGGTGTGAGCCACTGCATCCAGCCTGTTTTTGGCTTTTTAGAGACAAGGTCTTGCTATGTTGCCCAATTATGACTTCTTCAGAAGCAGAATAATAAAACAGGTTTCTTTCAGCCTTTTTACTGGTAATTGTAGAATGCTTATTAGATCTGAAAATTGAAACCTACATAATGGTTATATAGTATGGGCTTCCTGGCTTTTAAAAACAACAGCAACAACAACAACAGCCACAACAACAACAGCCAACACAGGAGAAAACCTGTCAGAATCTTTTTTCAAAGTGTAAGATGAAATTGACATATTATCCCTTTGCTCCATAGCTTAAGAGAGTAAGTGCTGCCCTTTTCTTTAGGATCATAGACTATTAGGTTCTGAACCATTATCATTCCTCCTAGTGCTTTTTAAAAGGTTTGGAAATATGTAAGTGTCATGTAGCTATTTATTTGTGTTTGTTTATTGTAGAGGCAGGGTCTTGCTTGTCAACCATACTGGAAGGCAGTGACGTGATCGTAGCTCATTGTAGCCTTACTCCTGGGCTCAAGTGATTTCTTGTGCTTCAGCCTCCCAAGTAGCTAAGACTACAGGAACGTGCTACCAAGCCTGGCTAATTACTGATTTTTTGGTAGAAACAGGGTCTTGCTGTGTTGCCCAGGCTCTTCATGAACTCTGTAGCTATTTATAACTTCAAAGGTGTTATGAAGTTGTAGATAATTTCATACATTTTTTTTTAGGATAACAGATTTTTTTGATGATAGCGGTTATTTATTACTTAGGTGTTTTTATTAATTGACTTGATTTAGCTGGTCTCGTTAGCTAAAATATATCTCTTGTAGAAATCAACACATCCTAACTAAAGTTTAATAACAGTTTAGCTTATTAAACAGCTTTCTTTCTCATACTGAACGAATGGACCTATGTCATCTCTGCAAGAACATTCTACCTCATGTGAAAGTTCATTTTATTGTGAATGTGTGCATAATGGCAAATGTCCCCAGATAGTCAGTCTCTTTCAACGTTATTCTTTAGTGTGAGGTGGGTAAAGGAGACTGACCTATTGAGAGTGGCTAGAAAAAGGTAGAGAATTGTCTTTTTCAGGAAATAATGATAAAAGGCACTTAAGGAAAAAAATTTCCTTCACAGTGGAAAACTGACAATAAAAAATAATGAGGTAATAGAATGTATAGTGAGTGGCCTTACTTAAACTATTTGTAATACTGCGGCATTTGCCATTTCAAGAAATAAAACAGAATTTGGAGTGGGGTGGTAGAATGGAAAGATTATCACTTCTTTTTTTTTTTTTTGAGTCAGAGTCTCACTCTTTTGCCAAGCTGGAATGCAGTGGCACGATCTCAGCTCACTGCAACTTTCACCTTCCAGGTTCAAGTGATTCTCTTGCCTCAGCGGGGATTACAGGTACCTGCCATCATGCACAGCTAATTTTTGTATTTTTGTAGAGATTTTGTATTTTCTAGAGATGGGGTTTCACCATGTTGGCCAGGCCGGTCTTGACCTCCTGACTTCAGGTGATATGCCCACCTCAGCCTCCCAAAGTGCTGGTATTACAGGTGTGAGCCACTGTGCCTGGCCCAGATTATAAATTTTCTTGTGTTTCAGGAAAGAAAGGCTTTTGAAGTAATTTGTTTTTTGAAATAATATCCATTTTCTGAAGTATATATCTGCTTGTGAACATAATGTTTTTCAGTTCTTTGTGAATTGTGTGTTAGGAATTAGGTGCCATTTTTATGTATATTTTTCTTTCAAGGTTATATAAAGATGAAATATTAACATTAGGGATCTTACGGATTATAAACTAGCTAATTTATAGTTATCTTTATTTTAAAAGGGATGTGTTATTTAACAGAAAGTTTGGCTTTTTTTTTTTTTTTTTTTTTTTGAGACAATCTCTTCAGCTTTGAGTAGTTAAGACTACCGGCGCACAGCACTACACTTGGCCAATTTTAAAAATCTTTTGCAGAGATGAAGTCTCACTATAGGTTGCTCTCAAACGCCTGTTGCAGGCAGTCCTACTGCCTTGGCCTACCAGAGTGCTGAGATGGCAGGTGTGAGTCATTGCCTGGCCCATTTTTATGAATTTGAAATCTTGATATCATGAGTAAAATGCAAAAGTTTGCATTTATTGTTTTCCATTTTTCAGTTTCCTATGTATAGTTAAGGGAAAATATAAATAAATGCATTTTTTGTATTTTTAGGCCCGGATTGCATTTCTACAAGGAGAAAGAAAAGGTCAGGAGAACTTGAAGAAGGACTTAGTAAGAAGAATAAAGATGTTAGAATATGCATTAAAACAAGAAAGGTATGTGTGCCTCATTTTTATATGAATAAAGTAGAACAATAGTATGCTCATGTATACAATTGTATTATGTATTTGGCACCTTTTTTTGAAAGGCACAAAGCCTTGCGCAAATACATGATGATATCTTGATTTGATTCATACTTGGGAAAGAAAGGCAAGAGATTAAAATAATTCAATAGAAATGTGTTTGGTTATTGAATCTAAATTTTGGAAGGTAAAAAAGGGACAAAGGATAATTGGTCTTTTTTTGACTTTTGAGTATGTGTTACTTGGGAAATTTACGTTTTTTTTTTCTTCTACAGCAATATATTCTATGTTCTTTGCAAATAAAGTTTAAAGAAACAGACATTCATATTATGTTTTGTTATTGGAGTAATATATAGCAAGAATGACAAACGGAAAAAGTTACTCTTTTACTAATTTGTGATTAAATTTTCAGGGCAAAATATCACAAATTAAAATATGGCACAGAACTGAACCAAGGTGACTTGAAAATGCCAACCTTTGAGTCAGGTAAACTTGATTCTTCTGTTACTTTTTTTTTTTTTTTTTTTAATAAATATTTTTTTTTTTTTTTTTTTTTTTTTTTTTTTTTTTTTTTTTTTTTTTTTTTTAAATTCATTTTTTATGTAACAGACATGTTCTCTTTATCCATAGTTTGGCTTGATAATATTAGTTAGAGAATGACCATTCTAAACTGTCTAGAGTTTGAGGGAAAAATATATATAAAAGTAAGTAGTTTCATGTACATCTCAATCCTGAGGCGACTTGTCTCATTATCCTTGAGTTGAAACCTATGTAAAACTGGTTACGTTTATGGTAGTAATTTGAGCTGAAAGGTAATGAAGTTAGGTGTTATAGTAAATTTTGAAAATTTAGTTAATTGTTTTTTAGTTCAATATTAAGTACGTAGAACTTGGCAGAAACACAGCGTGCGTACAATTTGCAGTTGATTTATTTTTTAGTCTTTAACGTTTTCAGTCTTCGCAGCAGAACTGTTTATTATAGCTTCCATTTGTTGTAATATATATAAATTAAGAGACTAAGATGGGAGTGGCGTAGGTTTTCTTTGACCTGGCTTTTCATTGGTTATGAAGGCTTATCCTGATGCCAAGAAACAATATGTTAGAATTGCCTCGTTGGAAAAAGCAAAAATCAGAAACAGAAACATGGAAGGGCTGTATGTTTTGAGCCATAATTATTATAGTGGTCTCTTTGCAGTTAAAGGGAGTAGAGTGACTTCACCAGAAAAATACCTGGTGAATTCAGAGCTTTTTTTGGGACTCATTTTATTTCCAGTATGGCTAGAATATTCAGAAAATAAGCAGGACACTTCTAGAACTGTAGGGCTTCTGTGTAAAGGAAGGAGGCTAGTTAAAGTCACATTGTACCTGCAGTAGAGGCTAAGCTGAGTCAGAATTGGCTAGATGGTCCCAGTATAACATTTTGTATAAAGCAAGATAAATCTTTTTTGCTCACAACTGAAATTGTGGCAAAACAAGTCTGCTGTTTTTATCTGTATAAACTTAAATATTAAAAATTCCTCAAGTTGAGGAATAAAATAATATCCAGGTGTTTTCTTTACAAGACACACAGTAACAGCAAAGTAAAATGTTTTCAGGATGTTTTGTGGAAAACCAAACAAAGGGATGGGCAAGAATACATCATGTGAACAACATATTATAGAATTATTTACATCAGAGTATATGTGGAGACAATACTAAATGAAGCAATGTTGCCTTTTGTATATCCCCAAAGAAATCAATATAAGAAAGAAAATGTACAAAATGCTGATTTGACCAAAGTACAATGTATGTGTTTATACCCTTCTTTTAGTAAAACAAATAGATATAGCCTAAACCTAACCTTATAAAGGAGTTATATTCAAATATTTAAAAGAGCTCCCTCTCTTCTACATTTAGAAGACAATCAGAAAAATGGGCAAAAGACTTAAAAAGACACCCCATAGAAGAGAATATATATAAATGGCCAATAAATATATGAAGTGTTGCTTGATTTTTATTAGTTATTAAGAAAATACAACTTAAAACTACAATGGAGTACAATTAGACACTGACCAGAGTGGCTAAAATGCTAAAGAGGCAATATCAGGTGTTTAGGATGTGTCGTAACCAGAATTAGTAGACATCAGTGTTAGGATTATAAAGTGATAATGCTGCCCTGAAAGTGACTTGACAGTGTGACTAAAAAGGATACTAAAGGATCCTAAACAGGATGTAACATACATACCCTAGGCCGGGTGCAATGGCTCACTCCTGTTATCCCAGCGTGTAATTCCAGCATTTGGGGAGGCCAAGGCATTCGATCTCTTGAGCCCAGGAGTTCGAGACCAGCCTGGACAACATGGCAAAACCTCATCTCTACAAAAAATACAAAAATTTCTCAGCCTTGGTGTTGTACCCCTGTAGTCCCAGCTATTTAGGGGGCTGAAGTAGGAGTAGGAGGATCGCTTGAGCCTGGGACATCAAGGCTACAGTAAGCTGTGCTCACACCACTCCTCTTAGGTGACAAAGTGAGACCCTGTCTCAAAAAACATTTATGTACATACCCTATGATACAGTAACCCCACTATTCAAAAAACATATGTATGTTCATCATGAAACTTGTATAAGAATGTTCATAGCACCATTATTTACAGCGAAAATCTGGAAACAACTAGAACAGTCTTCAGAATTAGATTAAATGGATAAGTACATTGTGATATATTAGCATAATGGAGTGCTGTTTAGCAACAAAAGTGAGCAAACTAAAAACTAAATGTGACAACATGGTTTAATGACATAAAATTGAAAATTGATAGAAATTATATTTAAAAATCTAGATAATTTTAGAAATTAAGATACTATTCATACCCTTTTTGGAGTGGCTAATGACTAGAGGGCACAAGGAAGGCTGTGGGGATGCTGATAATATTTTGTTCCTTCATCTAGGTACTAGTTACATGGGTGTGTTCAAAAATTCCTTGAGCTATATGCTTGATGTACTTCAAGAATATCCTTAGCAACGTTATTTATAATAGAAGATGGAAACTAATTTCAACATTAGGGGATTGGTTAAATAGGTATACTTTTTCTATAGAATATTATGTAATCATTTTTAATGCTGATCTGTATTGCCATACAGAGAACGTTCAAGGTAACTTTAGTGTCAGAAGCAGATTATAGTGCAGTGTATACTTTGGGACATTTGAAAAAAAAAAAAAAGGTGGGATTGTATTAGTCATGTATATTTTCAGGTAGAAAATAGGGAATGATAAACACTAAAGTTGTTAACTTTTGGTAATAGTGTTTTGGGTAGTTGTATTTCTTATTTTTTTTAATATTTTTTTTTCTCCAGTGATTATGTGTTATATGTAACTTTAAAATGTTATAAATAGAAAAATGTAAATAGAAAAATCAGGGTGACTATTAGAATGAAATAATTATTTCTGGAAATCAAAGAAATGCTTGTGTTTGGGACAGAATAAGAAGTGGTTTTCTTTTGTTTTGAGACAGAGTCTCACTCTTTTGCCCAGGCTAGAGTGCCAGAGGATTGCTTGAGCTTGGGGGCAGATCTTGGGTCACTGCAATCTCTGCTTCCCAGGCTCAAGCAATCCTCCTCCCTCAGCCTCCCAAGTAGCTGGGACTACAGGCATGTGCCACCATGCCTGGCTAATTTTTGCATTTTTTTAGAGATGAGGTTTTGACGTGTTTCCCAGGCTGGTCTTGAACTACTAGGCTCAAGTGACCCACCTGCCTTGGCCTCCCAAAGTGCTGGGATTGCAGGCCTCAGCCACTGTTCCCAGCCAGAAGGTATTAATAATTGGATTGTTAGGGTTAGAGAAATAATGCCTGTACAGGATTTGAATTAATACCAGCAAGTACTAAGTGACTTTGAGGAGTCTAGGAGCCTCACAGAGTCCTCAACATTCAGTGTGAGGGTTGATCTTCAAAGCCCCTCTCTTCTTCACTGTGTCTTTATTTTAATAATGGGAATTTATGAGTTTATGGGGAACTATTTCTGTGATATAAATGTCAATAAATAGTTTTAACTTTTGTTCTAGAGATGCTTGTTGAGCTTTTTAATTTCAAAGGCAATCAACTCAGCAGAATTCTAGTAATTAAAAAATTAATTTGCCGGGCATAGTGGCTCATGCCCTATAATCCCAGCACTTATTAGGAGGCTCAGGCGAGTGGATTGCTTCAGCCTAGGAGTTTGAGACCAGTTTGGGCAACATGGCAAAACCTTATCTCTTCAAAATACAAAAATTAACTGGGCATGGTGGTATGCATCAGTGGTCCCAACTACTAGAGAGGCTTAGGTGGGATCTCTAGAGCCCAGGGAAGTTGAGACTGCAGTGAACCGAGATGTTGCCACTCTAGCCTGGGTGACAGAGTGAGACCCTGTCTCAAAAAAAGAAAAAACAAAATCAGTTCTAATAATATTTTATCTCCTGGGTGTTTGACTTTTGAATCATTGATGCTAATATAGTACGCCTGGGTTTTCCCTGTTTTAAAATGGGGAACATAGTACTTAAGTCATTGGGTTATTGGGACATATTTAAAATGAGTGACCCACAGTTAATACTTAGTAAAAGCTAATTTTTTCCTGTCTTTTATAAAATATTTAAGTATTTTTTGGGGAAATTTATCCCTAAGAAAACTTTGGCAATATTTTCAGGAGTTAAAATAATGTATGTAAAACTTTTTTTTTTTCTTACTTTTTAGAAGAAACCAAAGACACAGAGGCTCCCACAGCACCTCAGAATAGCCAGTTAACATGGAAGCAAGGCAGACAGCTTTTAAGACAGTGAGTATTTATTTATTTTCAGCTTTCTTTAAGGATCTAGATATGAAAGTTCTTATATTGAATCAATTTGCAAGTAAAAAATTGTATTGGGACGATGTGTATGTGTTTTGTATTGCTGCGTTTTCGCTGTGTAGATGCTTCGATCTTTTTAAAAGTTTGTTTCCTCTGAGTTTCACGATGATGATGTCTTCTTACTTGCAGGGTAGAATGTCTAAAAGACTGGATGACTTGAAGAGCAGAACAAAAACAATATAGAAGTCATACTTCCTAGACCCCTCCATTCCTATCCGTGCAGAATTCACACAATTCAGTGTGCGTGTGACTGGTCTAGAGAATGAATTTAGCTGAATTCATCTGAAACTTTTCAGAAGTGGATTGCCAAATCCTCCTTTTACTTGAATTTTTTAGGAGCCTTTTTGATTTTTGAATTACTTGTTGTGTTGGAAGTATTTCTCTGGTAAATTTTTTTTTTTTTCTTGGACTTTCATCTGTTATTTTCCTTATATTTTGAAAATTTTGGGATTTGTATCCTACTGATATCCTGGGTGATTTTCAGTTATTCAGTGTTTTCCACTCTAGGTATTTTTACCTTCACCCTTGATCTTGTACAATGATCTTTAGAATATTCCATGGTCTGGACAGTCACCTCTGACCACTGTGTTATTTGCCCTCTGACTTTACCATGATTTTTAGATCCTTGACTATATCATTTTTCTCTTTAGCTCTTCTACCTATAGTTGCATTTATTTTATTTCTGTTTCCCTAGCTCCAGCTTAGACTCCATAATTGATCACCCTTATCTAGTACCCTTAATTTTCTTGCTACCTGCTGCTTACCACTTCCTCACCAGTCATTTTACTGAATTTACCTGCAAAACTTGAGCTCTAGTTCATTCTGTCTAGTGCTTCTCTTTCTAGTTAACTCTTGGATAAAAACTACAGAATCATGTGAATGCTATTATATATCCATGGTTTCCTGTCCAAACATTGCAGAGAGCCCTTTTCCATAACCGTTGGCCACCCTCTGCTTCCATTGTCCTAAGTGGATATTCTAAACTTTTACTACATCTCAGCCCATTCTCCCTTATTTCATTAGAGCACTTCAGGCCCTGCTTCACTGAAAATATGAAGGCTGTCAGTTGAGAACTCCCTTGACACTTTGCTTTTCTTTCTGTAAATGTATTTTTAAATTTTTATTTATTTATTTATTTATTTGATGGAGTCTCACTCTGTTGCCCAGGCTGGAGTGCAGTGGCTTGATCTCGGCTTACTGCAGCCTCCACCTCCCGGGTTCAGTCAGTTCTTCTGCCTTAGCCTTCCGAGTAGCTGGGACTACAGGTGCATGCTGCCATGCTCAGCTAATTTTTGTATTTTTAGTAGAGACAGGGTTTCACCATGTTGGCCAGGATGGTCTTGTTCTCCTGACCTCATGATCCATCCGCCTTGGCCTCCCAGAGTGCTGGGATTCTAGGCGTGAGCCACTGTGCCTGGATTCTGTAAATGTATTTAAACCTCTTATCTTTTACCTTAGTTTCTTATGTTCCATTCAAAAAGGTATTTATCAATCCAGGCTCTCCTTATAAGTGACTAAAATTTGAAGAAACGAATAGATTATTGATTAGAAGGATGCTGGATAACCCGCAGAATTAAAGGAAATGGTGAAATAGTGAACAACCAAGTGTCAGGAAGTGAGGAGCTAGGGTAACTTGGAGGCTGTCTCAGACTGGAAACTCTAAGGACATTCTTATTTGATTTTCTACCCCCTCTCTGTCTCAGGTTTATTCTTTTCTGCTGAGAACCACTTTTTTCCGTATGTCAGAGAACACTCTGTCTTAGAACAATTTCTGAAAAGGATAGGTGGTGTCCTGACTAATCAAACGATTCCCCATGAGTCAGTCGTTTTTACCTGAGTTGTATGAGATCTTGGCAGTTCATTCAGACAAAATGGTTAGAGTACGATAGGAGCTGTTCTCTCCAAGAGGGAACTGCATTTTTTAGAAGGAGAGTGAGGACAGTTGTAGAGAAATCACTTGGACAGTATTTCTCTCATAAATGCCTAATCCCGTTGCCTGGATTTACAGTTTAGTCTCTTGACACCTTTATCTTTCCCTGTGACTTTACAGCCAAACTTGTTAAGAGTAGTTTAGCCCCATAGTCTTCATTCTCTTTCGTCAGCTGTTTTCCATTTTGACGTTCCTCTGGAGCAGCTATCACAAACAGATTCAAGAGACCCTCTTTGTTATAATTGATATCTTGGAAAAATTTGACATTATCTATTCCTTTTTGAAACTTTTAGTTTTGCTTCCATGACAGCACTCTCAGCTATCATTTTTTTCCTCTAATTTCTCAAGTATTTTCATTTTCTTTTGAGTTTTTCTTATGATTCTAGTCCTTTGGGTGTTTGTATACCCAGACTTTCTCTTTTTAATTTATGCTTATTCTATGAGTGACTTCATTTAAATCCATGCCTTCAAATAGTACCAAAGATTAATGACCCAAATCTGTATACCCAGGCCAGTCTCTTCTTAGCTTTTGATTTGTATCATCTGTGTGCCTAATAAACATTGCCACTTGTGTTTTTTTTTTTTTTTTTTTTTGAGACAGAGTCTTGCTCTGTT